TACAGTCCTTTGGGTGGTCAACTTGCAGAGGTTCTACTGTAATTACATAGCTAGAATTTGCATATTGAAAGAACAGGTGATATCTTAGAAAAGTTGATTCAGATTAATGCAAGACCAGGAGCTTTTCAATTTCATATTGTTCTAGGGAAAAAAAAAAATCAACCTCAACCTTGGAGCTTGTAGCTGAGTGTACCTGGCTAGAATAACAAGATTAAGAGCAAGGTATTGGATTTTGACATAGCCTCTTCAGTACCTATGGTGTCAATGTAGAGGGAGATGCTAGCACCAAAAAAAGAAGCAAGAGCTGTACAGCTTTCTAAATTGTGTTCCATTTTTGGTGTTTTTATTAATAACCTGTTTTTTTCTGTTCAGTTAACTTTGTATCTTTAAAATGTCTGAAACACCCTTAAACTATGGAACCCACATTCAATAGCTTTTTTGCCCATCAACAAAATCAATAGATTGAGATGTCCATAAAGCCAGACTTTGGTTTTATGCTATTTAATTTTGTTAATATAAATTTGTTTTAATTAAAACATTTGATACCTCTGTACCAATTATGTCAGAGTAGAGGATGCTCTCCCATGCCAACCCAAAGACCTACCTTTGTTAATCCTACCAAGCATATAGCCTGGCTGGACCACAAGACTACTTGAAGTCCTGACCCAAATTGCAAATACCCAGCTATCTTCATGAAATGGCTACTAAATAAAGCTTAAAAGATAAATGTATATGACTGGATTCCCACTTGGCATCCTTTATCTGAAATTTTAATTTTCATTTTTTCAAATTTCCATGATTTTTATTAGAATTATTTCATGGACTTACTCCTCTGGGAAAAAATATATATAGTCCTATTTTAAGATTTAAGATTTTTGTGAAGGCTATGTTAACCAGTTTCAAACTGTATATAAAACCAGCACATTGGACCCCATGATTGTATTAATGTACACAGCTATGATATAATAAAAAAGAAAGATTTAAGATTTTTATGATAGTAGCATGTAAAGCACAAAAGCACAAGAGTGAAAAAGCAGCAGCAAATACACATAGTTAAACATAACCTTGATTAACAATTCTTGTTATTCATGGATGCCAACTCAGTTAATAAGTGTTTGTGGCTTGGATACTGAAGGGGAGGTTAATGGCGAGGTGGAAGCAATTGTAGAATCCAGATTTTTAAGACAAACACACATCACACCACAGAAGGCATGCATGGAATCAGGTGTAGTCAGTCGGCTGTGGTGATATACTTTGGGTGTTCTCCTTCACTGGTCCAGCTGTGAAAAGCCACCAGAGCTGGCACCTTACCAAGCAAAGAGGAATGGCCCTTCTCTGTGAGCCTCTGTGCCACTTCCGCGTTCAGCCCTGGATTGGCCAAATGGGAGCCTGTGAGAGAGGAGTAGGTTGACGTGAAATTTTTTTAATTGAAGTTTTATTTTGACTTCTCAGGTGGATTTGTAAAACAGATAGGTCAATTATATAGTTACGGGAGAGCACGTGTCCAAATGTAATATTTGTATGCATCTCAACTTAGCTGTCAAATGTCAGTGAAGTCACATTTCCCTTAAAATGCACGTGTCTGTAAAAGCAAAATGAATGCAAGCCATGGTTTCCTGCCCTGTTCATTGGGCATCAAGGCACATTTTTATGTCAAAGAGAGAATCTGCAGCCCTAGTAAGTACATTCCTTCACTGATTTCTTTTTTCTCTCTGAGATGGATTAAAAATCAGGAGATTTTTTTCATGTGCAATGGTAATCAGGTCAGGATTGAAAGTAGAGAAGTATCTGAGGAAGTCAGTCAGTCAGTCACATCCTCAGAGGGCACTAAAAGAATGCGTGAAGACACCGATTTTTTCTTCCCTCGTTCCTTGAGAGACATGGAACCTCAAAATTGTCTCTCTGTCAGAGCTAGAGGCTGGGTGGCGATTTGATCACAGATTGTGGTCTGGCCGAGTCATGGGTCATGTGGTCCAGCCTGTGAACAGGAAGGTGAGAACGGGTGAACTTTTGCCTCAGTTGTGCCATCCATCAGAGAATAAATGGAGCAAATCAGCGGGCACAGCTGTATAAGGAGGCGACGGCTGTGTCCTTCTCACACAGGGTCCTTTGTCTCCTGGACATGATCTCGCATTACGACGGGATGCACTCGGCCTGGGCTTTGTGGCAAATTACTAACCCATTATCACACCAGAACACAGGATCATTTATCTTCTAATCCACAGTGTCACCTGTTCTTCATTTACCAGTCAATAACCATTAATTATGCTCAGTGGAAATTTAAACAAAGCCCTTTCCCCCTGTTAAAACCAGTAAACTATTCAGTAATAACAAATAAATCTGGAGTTGTATATCCTTTCCCTTCCCATTCCCAGACTGGAGTCTGGTACAATATGAACTTTAGAGGAAATGCCTAGAAATTGATAGGTCAAAGGCCACAGATAGTCTGATGGAGAAGAAAAGAGCAGATTCTTGGCTCTTGCCCTGGTGAAAGGAGAGGCCCCTACTGATCCCCAGATTCCTGCCGGGAACAAAACAAGCACTAGGGGACCTGTGCCCATGTTTAAAGTGATCCATTAACCAGCAATCATATTTTCTCCTTTCATTTTTTAGTAAATCCTTGCTTTCTTTCACATGACTAAAAATAGGGTTTTTATTTTTTGAGACCATTCTAGCACAGCCGAGTGTTTCTAAAGAAATAAAATAAGCTGAGTGGTCCTGAAAGACCTATTTGAAATGTTATTTTTAGAATGGAAATTTGAGTCAAACACATTTAAGTGTATTTACCCCTACATCTAATTCCCCGCAGAAGAATGTTCAAGCAGAAATTCTAGCCAGAAGCATAATTTAATTTTTCCTTGAGACTCTGAAAGTATTTTGGTGAAAACCAAAATAAGTTTGTGTGAGTGTGTGTGCATATGGGTACATGCGTGTGCCCTCTCTGCTGAGATGGAGGGTCAGCTTAGTTGGGAAGGGTGGCCAAAGGGCAGGCTGAGTCCCAGGGAAGCCACCATGCTGTGTACTGTTGGTCACAGGGAAACCCAGTGAGACAGCAGGAATTCATTCCAATGGCTAGACCGGGGACTCTGGTATGGAATCTAGAGAGCTCAGCATTCCCAGACAGATGAGGGGATGGGGCATGCCAGGCCACGGGAACTTCACACACAGGCCCAGACCTACAGAGGGCAGCCACCCCACTGGGCCCTCACTATTGTTCAGGCCTTGGCGCTCCTTCCAAAAAAGCACTTTTCTGAGAAGCTTTGTGACAAGTCATGCTGGGCATGGGCTTTGCCAGCAGGGCCTGAGCTATATTCCAGATCCCACTTCTCCTCTCAGCCCCCAGCATTTAATGGCGTTCGGGAAGCTAGCAAGCCATTGTCATGTCCTTCTGCGTGTGGACTATCCTGAGAAAGAGAACGGCTTGTGTGTTGTGCATTTTGAAAACGAATCAAGTGTTATTAGTAATAGTGGTAGTGGTGCTGGTAGGAGCAGTATAATGTATAACATTTTAAAGGTTCTACAACTTAATCCATCAACCATGATCTCTTAATGTAAAATGAAACCCCAGATTTTTTATTAATGGGAACAAAACTGTCTCCTAGCCAAGACAATTTCATCTGTCAAGTTACTTTACAGTATGCCACCTCTCCACGGCATGTTAAAATACCCCAAATTTCATCTTCTATAGCACAAAAATATAACATAAAACAATCTTATAATAGACAAAAAATAACTATGAGAAGTAACTTCAAGTAAAAGGGGTTTCTTTTTGCTTTTTAGAAAGTTGCCACAAATTCAAATGAGTAACAGTATTAAACTTTTTGGTGGCATTTTCTAAGAGAAAATAGACTGCCTCATTGATTTCAGCATCCTGCTTTCAGCTTACTCAGTAGCACTTAGGCAGACACCAACTAAAACAGTTTTGTTTCGCTGTCAGATCAAGAGTTCAATGCATGTAACTTTGGGAACTGTGTTATAATGAAATATGTGTTCTTTCTACCTACTTTATTTTGAGAAATGATAAAAATTAAAATGAATTTTTTTAATTTGATTTGGATTTTTTCATAAAGAGATCCTGTTGGATATTGGATACATGCTACACTTAATTTTTAGAAGTCTGCATCTCCTATCTGTCAAAAAAAAATCTTTATAATTCATGTGGAATTTTAAGAAATGGAAACCATCAGCCTGTGTCCTGTTCTAACAGTGCTTCTGACCAGGGTGAGCCAGACTGTGACTATACCATCAGTTTGTGTCTTGGATATTGAGCTGCATTGTTGCCCAACCAGATTCCTGGTTTTTATTGAGAACATGTACCTGTATTGTGTATTCAGTTGGATCATGGTGTGAAAATTGAGTACCTGACCTTGAAACGCTACCGTGAAATGCTGCCTTGAATGCTGCTGAAATGAAATCCTTAACTCTGGTGTAAATGTTCTCATTGCCTTTCAGACAGCTTTTTCAGAATAGTATTAATAGTACTCTTCCTTTTTCCATTAATAAATCTTGTTTATTTTGCTTTTTGATTGGTAAATTCTCAAATTCATCATTCAAAATTAGGTTCGACTTTTGAGGACAAAGATCTGTCTTCAAATGATTCTTTTTCCCTACCTGCCGTCAGTAATATAAAGAAAAATTAGACAATACTTGTAGAACTGTTCTTTTCCTAAGTAAAACTATAAAAAGGTTATTAGCCACAAATACTGCATGACATCACACTCCTCCAAATTGTGGTCCAAGGATCTGCTGCACAAGAATCACCTGGGATGTTAAAGATTCCTAAGATGTTTTCTCCAGGCCTCTGAGTTCACTGCTCTGCAACTATAGTCCAACCATCCATGCAAAGATGTTCCCCACGTGATTCTTATGCACATTATAGTCTGAGAACCATTGTGATAGTGGTTAGAATACTATCCAGTTATGTGCAGTGGATAACACTGTATTTCCAAAGTGACTATTGAATGCAACTTTGACATGAATTTGCCTCTTTCTGTCCCTAGGCAATGTGGCTGATGTTGCAGAATGATGAGCCGGAGGACTTTGTCATAGCTACTGGGGAGGTTCATAGTGTCCGGGAATTTGTCGAGAAATCATTCTTGCACATTGGAAAAACCATCGTGTAAGTGTACATGAGAATTGATTGCTATTCCATGGCCAGATGTTTGCTGGCAGGTGTGCATGTGTGCTTGCTGTTCTGCCTTGGTTCTGTTGTCATCTTCCCTCCATTATAGAGCAATCCAAGGAGTTTCAGTGTAGAAGAGAAATATAGTTCTTTGCTGTATCTAACCCCACTTATATGTTAAATGTTGGTCAAGGTCTAAACCAAGTTGTATTAAAATTTCTTTTATCTTTCTTATTTTTTAAATATTTTCAAAATTATATTTATTTTTAAATTTTATTTTTGTTTTTTAAGTTGTGATTTTTTTTAAATCTTGATATAAATGCCATCTTCTATGATTCTACTTCGGCTAATTTTTCTCTTACCAGATCAATTTTATAACATTAAACAATCTTTTTTTAAAACTTTCACTTTATATTTTTAAAACTTGAGAACATCAAAAACTTACAGAAAAGTTTCAAATGCATTACAGTCTTTTTTCTTTGAACCACTGAGAATAAGTTGCTGACCTGACCTGATGTCCCATCCCCCTGAACTTTTTGTGTGTATTTCCTACAAACAATGACATTTTCCTATGGAAACTTGATATAACCATCAAACTCAGGAAATTCACAGTGATAAATTATTATCATCTAATCTGCAGATTCCATTTGAGATTTGGCAGCTGGGCCAATGCTATAGTTTATACTGAAACAATCCAGTTTGTAATTGTGCACTACATTTATTTGTTTTGTTGCAACATACAAATTTAAAGGCAGATTTTTACTGGAATATTTGAAAGATTTTTTGAGAAATCCTTTATTATAGATAAAACATTCTTTTTTTATTTCGGGTGTCTTTTTAGTGTGATAAAATATAGATAGCAAAAAATTACAATTTTAACCATTTTTAAATATATGATTCAGTGGTATTAAATGCATGCATGATGTTACAGAGCCATCACCACTAGCCTATTTCCAAAACTTTTTTTTCTTAATTTTTATTAGATCATAATTGTGTACATTAATTCTATCATAGGATACAGTGTGTTGCTTCCATATGCAGTTTGGAAAACTCTCATCCAACTGGCCAACATAGCCATCATGTCTTTCTCATAATTGTTGTGTTAAGGCATTTATATTCAACCTTTAGACAAATTCACATGTACCTTAATAGGATAAATTATAGGCGTGATCCAAATGATTTCAAGCAGAAACTCTGTAACCATTAAATAACTCCTCATTCTCTCTTCCCCCAGAACCTGGTAACCTCTGTTCTACTTACTGTTTCAATGAATTTGTCTGTTCTGGGTACCTCATTTAAGTGGAATTACATAATATTTGCCCTTTTGTGTCTGGCTTATTTCATTTACCATAATGTTTTTATAGTTCGTTCCTGTTGTAGAATTTCATTCCTTTTTTAAAGGTCAAATAATATTCCATGGTGTGTATGTACCATGTGCACTTTGGGGATTGAGTCATCTGTTGATGGACATTTCCTCCGTTTGGCTAGTGTGAATAATGCTGCTGTATACATGCGTGTACAAATACGTGTTTCAATTCCTGCTTTGAGTTCTTTGGGGCATATACTTAGAAGTGAAATTGCTGGATCATACAGTAATTCTATCTCTTAACTTTTTGAGGAACTAACAAACTGTTTTACAAGATTCATTTTTATAAAACAAAGTGGACTTTTACTCCTAACCATAATGGAGTAACAGAAACCACATTTAACCTTCTATTAAAAAAAAAATTAGACCTAGACAAAACACATGAAACAACTGTGTTAGACACTAGACAATAGGCGGTACAGGACTATTTTCCCTGAGAGACAAGAAAGAAATGAGGAGAACACTGCATTCACTTTGGCTTTCTTCCTGCGGTCTGGTCTGGACTGCACAGCATAGGGGGAAAGCATCAAGCAGAGAACAGCTATCTTGCTGAGTTGAAAAGGCAGAGATCAGAATTCAGAGAGTCTGAGGTACCTGGACTTTGTGAGGTAGAGTTCTAGAAAGATGGGCTTTACGAAGAAAAAGAGCTCAAAAATCTGCATAGAGATCCCCTTGAGTCTTTGCAAAATAATAACATGCATGTATGTAAGAAACTCCACAAGCTTGGATAAGGAATCACCTGGGAGCTGGGAGTTGAGTGTTTCTCAGAGTTCACCTCAAACTGGAAGGCATTTAGGTTTCAACCAGCCATGATGAGGTGACCTTGATGATTTCTCAGAAAATGCAGTTTGGACCCTAGAAGGGCTGTGCCTCACCTCTAGGTTCAATCCCTAGAGGGTCAGGATAACAAAGTTTAAATGTAAGTTTCAAAAGGATCAAATTGGACACAAATAATTTAGCTTCCTGCCTTTACAAAGCCCAATATTCTTCAAAAGAAGACAGAAAATCTAGTCACTCATAAAATTTACAGTGTTCAGCGTTCAGCCACAAATTACTAGGCATGTCAAGACACAGGAAAGCATGACCTATAACCAAGAGAAAAATCAGTCAATAAAAACAGACTGAGGAATAGTGAGGATGATAATAGGAACACATGAGGATGTTAAAATAACTAGCATAACTATGCTCAAGTATTTTAAGAAAGGCATGAATATATTAACAAGAAAGAGAACATATATTTTTTAAAAACAACTAAAACTTCTAAGATGAAAAAGTAAGTATGTAAAATGAAAAATTCACTGTTAGCATTGAGAGGTCAGATGCTGTAGAAGAAAATAATAGTGAATATAGATATAATACTAGAAATGATTTAAGATGAAGCATAGAAAGAATAAGACTTGGGGGAGAAAAGAACAGATCCAGTGACCTGTGGCACCCTTAATGTGTAGTTGGCATCCTGGTGGAAAAGTGGGGAGGGGCAGAGAAAAAGAATTAAATAATGGCCATTTTCTCAAATTTGATGAAAACAGTAAAATCATAGATCTAAGAGGCATAATAAACCTCAAGCAGAATAAATAAAAAGAAAGTCACACCAGTATACCTCATACTCAAAATACATGCTGAAAATCTTAAAAGCAGCCAGAGAAGAAAATAATTATTTACAGTAGAGCTCAGTTTTTTTACCACTTGAGGAAATAAGGGGTTTTTTTGTTTGTTTGTTTTTGGCCAGGGCTGGGTTTGAACCTGCTACCTCCAGCATATGAGGCCGGCTCCCTACGCCTTTGAGCCACAGGTGCCACCCAGGAAATACGTTTTTATAGAATTTCAGGAGTACATGTTTCATTCTACCTAGGACGCTTCTTCAGTTTCTTTATTTCATGACTTGGTCAATTCCATTCCTAAGTCATTCATCCTTACCTGTACACACTGTGGTATAGTGTCATGGTTAAAAGCTCATGTCCAGTGCCACGCTTCCTGGGCTGCTCTCAGCTCAGCAACTTTTTAGGACAGTTACTTATCCTCTGTATCTCTGTTTTTCCAACTTGAAAATGGGGGATATAGGAGTCCTTACACCAAGGAATGGGATGAAGATTAGATGGGTAAGTCGCTTAAAACAGTATCTGATACACCTTAAGCTCGCTGTAAGAATTTCCTATTAATGAAGTGATTAATGAAGTGAAGACAACAATGAATTCAAAGGGTCAAGAAAATGCAGAAACAATAAGTTTGGGCAACTGACAATGTTTAGGACAAGAAGTAGTAAAAAAAAAAAAAAAATCACGTTAACATGTCATGCCTGCATGACAGAAGAAACTTAGCAGAGCTCTTAGAAGAGGCAAGCAATTGCAGGTGGAGGAACAAGCTTGTTCAGTTTTTGTTGTGTAAAGCTGGCAGATCTGGTGAGACTTCTCTTCCTTTCTGACATATGGCCCCTTATGTGAAGACTTGGTCATTTATTAGAGTTACAGTACCTTTTTGCAAATCCATCCTTAATCCTCCTTAAAAAAGGAGCAGGATGTCTCAAACTTCATTATGCTGTGAATCATTTGAGATCTTGTTAAGACTCAGATGCTGAATCAGTAGGTCTGGATGGGGTCCGAGACTCCACATTTCTAACAAGACCCAGGGAGATGCCAAAGCAGCAGTTCCAGGGACCATGTTTGGAGTAGCAAGGCCTGGGAGAATTGTAGAACCTCCAGTTTGAAATGAACTTTGATAGTTACCTTATTTTTGTCATTTGTGTTTTTACCTTTCCCCATAGACTAGGTACTATGTTCCTTAAGGGCAGAATTTGGTGTCCAGTGCTTTTCCAAACCTTTCACTGTGCCTAGCACAGTATCAGATATATAATAAATAAATAGAGACTTTAATGAGTCGATAATGGAAGTAGAATTTTCAGAAGCTGAGAAATTTGATTGGAGAGTTTTTCTGGTGTGGGAAGGGCTGCTCAAAAATGAATAGACTTAAAAATTCTAGGACTTCCTGTGAGAAGAGATCAGGGCCATCTGCAGCTGGCTCAGCTCCTTTCCCTTGTTTTATGTTCTGTTCCTCACAAGTCTAGTGTGCATAAGATTATTTAAGCATAAGCTGAATTTAATTGCAATGATAGTGAATTTGTCATTTGACAAATAGAGGTTAGAAGAGTTCTCTGGACTCTCTGTTTCTGTCATTAATCAGTCACAGAATGCTCTCAGGTCAGATAAAGAGATCCAAAAAAGCAAGTGTGACACCTTCCTTTCCTTTTCCTATGACTGGAAAGAAAGAGCCCAGAAGATACCTTGAATCTCCAAAGTATACAAAGTTTCTGGAAATTCTTCTTGGTGCAGGATGACAAAACTGATGATTAATGTGAGATGAGACAAGGCAGGTCACCCAGAGCCGGGGGAGCCATGTGATTTATTCAGAAATCATTCCCAATCCCACCAATCCCAAACCCATTGTTCTCGATGAGCCAGGCTTTTTCAATCAACTATTTAAGTTTTTGAGTAGTTTGTTCCCTTCGAAAATAACAGTAGGCTACAGAAGGTGACAAAGTGAGATTCTGTCTTATTTAAAAAAGGAATTTCATATAAGAGAGACTTTACCTAACAAATGCAATCAGTAAAACCTAACTCTTTGTACCCTCAATGAA